AAAACTCTGGAGGCATTTTTTTTGCGCGAGGAGGCTCCTACTAAAGGACTGTTTCCTATCCTCTGTTTGCTAGCTGAAGAAAGTGCCTTCGTAGGTTTCTTTTTTGCAGCAACTCTAGTGGATCTCGGAATGCTAATATTAACTGATTCAATGTTAGTAGGCTCAGTAACTCTCATTAAGCCGATACTCTGTTATCCACCAGACTTTGTTCGTTTCCAGCATCATATCGGACTACAATTTCTTGCAGGTGGCTTGAATCAACACTTGTAGCTCCGCCAATTCTTTGAGATACATGAGTCCTAGGTTGAGAGAGACGTTCCAAAGCAGGTCTCCTTGGCCTTGGGGTTGTTTCCTCCTCCACTATAGTTGGAAGACATGAGGGAGATATCGGTTCCCTTTTTGGGTTTGGTAGAGATGTGTGGCTACTGTTCGATAAATACTGGGAGTTCGGCTGACGAGCCATGTTTTGAACTGGACTGTTTCTGAAATTGCTCTCTGAGTATCCGAGTTCTCGAGGTTGAAGTCTACTTGGGATAGCTGAATGTAAGCTATGGATTGAAGTATGTATAACAGACCTATAAAAGGAAGTAACTCTCCTTGGCTCCTCCTTGCTCCCTGTTATGTAATTTCTAGCCCGTTCCCTGTCAAAATCTCCTCGGGTTGGCCTAGCTTGACTTGCATTTGAGTTTCTGCCAAGGGAGTTTCGATTTGGAGACCTTCGCTAGTCACTTCTTGTTGTAGGATCTCTTCTGTGACTGTAAGAAGGGTGTGGTTCCTGATGACGTCTCTCATAATCCCATCTTCTTTCAACTTCCATACGATTCAAGACTTTCCTTTGGTTTATTCCCAATTGGCTCAAGTCGCGTACACCTTCTTTTGTTAGATGGCAGTCTTTCTCATCATGAGATAATGAAAAGCAAGAGAAACAGTGTTTCTTCAGCTTTTCGTACTCGAACTCCACTGATGTGATCTCACCGTTTGGGAGTCTGATTTCAGTATTCATTACTAGAGGTTCCAGACCATTGATTTGTACTCTGACCCTATCTTGAGCATCATCCCTCCCTCTGATGAGG